ACCTTGTCACCCTCGATAGAATGCTGTGGCATCACAGCTCACAGCAACCTCCAGCTCTTGGGCTTTGATGATTCTCTTGCCTTAGCCTCCTGAGTTGCTGGGCACCCTCACAATGCCCAGATATTTTTTTGTTGCAGTTTGGCAAGGGCCAGGTTTGAACCCACCACCCTTGGTATATGGGGCCAGTGCCCATCTCACTGAGCCACAGGCACTGCCCACCATTAGCTTTTTTTGATGAATATTTGATTTTGGCTGTGTTTTGGCACTTCGTCTTTATCTAGGCATTGTGCCAAATACTTGCAATTGTCAAAAAGAATTCACTTTTCATCACATATAATAAACAGTACAGAAATGGTTGCTTTTATGTCGTGATAGCAAAGAAAGGCAAGCTTCAAGGTGATTTCTCTTCTAACACTCATTTAATTCATGCAAAACTCATCTATCTAGCTTCTTTACCTTGTCAATTCGTTTCAAATGCTCCAATATTATTGGAATAGTAACATTAAACCTTGCTGCTAATTCACGCATAAGTTGAGATGGATTTGCTTCCACTACAGCTTTTGTTATGCCCCCAAAATTCCCCCAAGTTGCCCCAGCAGAGAAATCCGAGACGCACTCTGACGTAAAAAGCAAGAGATGAGATTTATTCAAGCCCGGGCCTGGTCTCTCCTGGCATGCAAGCCAAGGAAGAGCCCCGAACCTGGGGTGTGTGAGGTTTTTATGGGATACAGAAAGCAAGAGGGGAAGAAGGGTACGAGTACACTTTTGATTGGTAGTTGGTGATTTCATTAGTAAAGGAGGATTTGCATTGGTGGTTGATGATTTCACTAGTAAAGGAGAATTTGGATTGGTACAGGTGAGGGGTGGGGGGATCTCTTAACCAGGGGCTAGAGTTGGTGCAGCCTGATTAGGTGGCTGGAGGAAAATACCTGTATTTCAAGGTAATAGAAACTTATTGTTATGGTAGCTGTTTGCCTAAGATGACTCAGTTTATGGTTTACAATGGCTGTGGAACCAGGGGTTGGGGAGGCAGCAGGGAGTGGCCCTGCAGGTTTAGGAATGGAGCTTATGCAGTAAACAGCTAGGAATGGGGTTTGTGCAGTAAACAACAAAATGGAGCTAGTCTGGCCCTCTCACTTTCAGCTTATCATTATCCACTTTGGTCTCAGGTCATCCATGTGGCTCAATTTCAAGATTAAGATCACCAGAGTGGAACTTCTCAAACCTCAATGTACTGTGTGTACATTCATTGGCCATGTTCTTCCCAAACACTTTATTAATTTCATGACCGTACTCATATTCGAAAGTAACATCAATTTTTGACTTGTCCCTGGCTTCACCCAAATTGCTCTAAAAAATTTTTGGAAAGAAAATGACAAGTCAAAATGTGCATTTCAAAGAATGAAAATGTACCTTCACAATAATAAAAAAAAAAGTATCAAAGTGAAATGTCGAGAGATATCAATTATCAAACTCAGTACTTAAGGAAATTAAATATTGTATACTTAATAATGTAACATATACTTGCAAATGCAATGGCATCATTAGTTTAGTTTTGTAATATGCTAAAGCTGAATGATGAGGCATTCAGTGTATATTTGCCCTTTCATTCTAAAAGTGTGTTGGCTGTTGCAGGGACAGGTGTTAGCCAGCATTTTATCTCTGCAAGAATAGATATTTAAATTTTATGAAGAATAGAATCAGAAATGTGAATTATTAAAAGAAGATTTCTATAGGAATGCAGCATTTCTGTGTGCTACATGTGAAATCAAAATGATTTAAATGTATCTTTGCAAGGTAAATGTTGGGGAAACCAGCCCTGACACGCTGTGGGTCTCCTTCCCTGTGGCCTCGTGGTGCGATGAAGACCAATTGAAAATTATTATGAAAGTTATAGAGAATAATAGACAAAGAGATAGTTTTAAGAGCAGTAGGGATTCGGGAAGCAGCATACCCTTCTTCGTGAGGCTCCAGTATGCCGCCCCAAGTAACAGGCTAGCTTTGTATTTATTTCATACATCAGTGTTACAATCATAAATCTTATGAAGGCAAGGGAAACAATCTTGTCATTCTTGCTGTGTTTGTATTACTATTAACTAGATTAATTTTACAATTAGTTACATTAATTGTATGAATTTACTTGCTACTTTTTATTGTTTTAAGGTATTTATGATCTTAACACAATCAGAGTTTTGACAAGGTAAACAATTAGAAACCTGACTCAAGGAAAATATCTTAGCTGACCCACAGTCACACATCACTGATGTGATGTTTTAGTACTCTCACAGCCTTGTGTCCAGACAGCCTCCTCTGGCCAAACTGAGGTGACAGAAGAAAAGAGATATTTCATCTCCTTATCTGGTCTGGAGGAAATCTTCCTGTGTTGAACAAGGTTTAAAGATTTCACATTTTTAACTCTCAAAAAGCACTCTCCTAGAGCATGCATCCCCGCCCTGGCAGGGAACGGCCTTGTGGCCTCGGACGCAGCTGTGGGTAAAGGGAGGATATTTAACAAGCCAGGCTTCAGAATATAAAAGTGACAATGTCTCACACTTTGTGCTCAAAGCCAGGAAATCTCTTCTGAATTAATCCCTTATTACTGTCTTCCTTTTTGTCCAGTCTGTGCAATCCTATTTCTAATATAATTTCTAAGCTACTAACAACTAATAATTGAGTGTTGGTTTTAAGCTTATAAAATCATTATTACCAGTAATGCAAGCACATTAGGACTCTTCTCTAAGTGTTCTCACATGCACTCTTCTATATATGATACGTTGCAAAGAAAATCTAAACATCTTGAAAAAGCTGTCTTTTTTCTTTTCTTTTTTTCTTTAAGGCACAGTCTCACTCTGTCACTTGAGCTAGAGTGCCATGACATCAGCCTAACTCACAGTGATGTCAGACTCTTAGGTTCAAGCATCCTGCCTCCACCTGCCTAGTCAATGGGACTATAGGTGCCCACCACAAAGCCTAGTTAATTTTTCTAGTTTTAGCGGAGATGATTTCTTACTCTTGCTCAGGCTGGTCTCGAACTCCTGAGCTCTAGTGATCCTCCCAACTAAGCCTCCCAGAGTGCTAGGATTACAGGCATGAGCCACTTCATTAGGTCAAGTTATCTTTTTTCAAAATGCTTCTTCAAAAGGAAATTTTGGATGAACATTTTCCCCACGTTAGCAAAGGTCACTGATGACCATGATGATATATGTAAATCTTTTGAAAAATTCGTAACTGTTCATCCATATTAATTGGAGAATATACTTGAAATTTTACTGGCTTTGAGAATCATAACTTCACACTCAATTAACATTTCAGCCTCACCTAATTGAGGCACCTAAAGAACTACAGATAGAATTGATTGAGCTCCTGGTAGTTGACATTTAAAGTCATTGTTTGATGTAAGAAAGATCCAATTGAAATATGGAAAAAATGCAATAGAATACCCATGCCTTCATTAACCTGCCCCAAACCCCTGTTTTCTTGCTTGTCAAGCACTTATTGCTACATATTTGCATTCTTTGAATTAACCCAAATAAGGATACCTTTAAGGTCACAAATGACTGACACCCATCTAGAGGATCAACTGAGACTTTGGACCTCTTTGCAACCAAATATGTAAATGCTTTCAACAAAAAAGCAGACATAACAGAGACATAACATTAAAATGTTAGTTAACTTTAAAATTAACAAATCAAGTAGTTTTCATGTTTTAAATTAATTAAGTACACAGATTTTTACAAAATAATGTCTGTCTATGTTAACGTATATCTAATTGAAGTTTCTTAAATGTGGTCTTATTTGATTACATCTAAATTAATGCCACCCTCCTATACGAAAAGATTCCCACCCATGGTCTAGACCAAGGGAAGACTATAGCAGGAAGATGGCTGATATTTCTGAGGAACAGCAGAGTTCAGTATAGCTCGAGGAGATGAGTCAGAGGAGAGTAGTAACATGAAGTCAGAGGGATTATGGTGGGGGAGGCAGTTGGGAGACAAGATCATGTAGGGCCTTGTAGCCACATACTTTAAGAGAAATGGGAGAAATTTGACCAGAGAAGTCAAATGATCTAAATTTTAACAGGATCACTAACAATTTATTAATTCATGTATTATATATCTTTGTAAAAATATAATTGGCTAAAAAATTGTATATCTGTGTTCTCAGATATACTATTAACTGTCTTACATCTCCTAATAGATTATAACAGTTTCACTTACAAGAACTCACTTTCTCCTTCTTTATAGTTTCCCACAGCTTTCTAAATCGAGAAATGTATTTTGCGTATAGTGCTGAATAAAGGTAGTTGACATATTGTAAATGATACCATGTATGGACAGATATCTTCCAAGCTCCAATAGACCCTCACTTTGGAAACGGACAGTTTACTCTTCTTATACATAAATATTTTTGAACTTTCTTATAGGGGAAGAATCATTTAAGTTCTTCCTGTCAAGCCAGTATTTTGGTAATTACAACTAAATTTACCACTTAACCCAACTAAATTATCAAAAACAAAAGGATTCAGTGTTAGATAACCAGAAACATACATCAGCTAATGAGGTACAGTAAATAGTTAAGAAGTGAAATTCTGAACATTAAAGAAGAGTTAAAAAATCAAGTGGCTTAGTCACTAGTCTGGAAAAGATAACTAAACGTGTAGTTAGGATACATTTGCCTGTAGGAAACTGCATGTCTTCGTTGTATTTAACTCTCAAGTTATAACCCTTATATAACTTCTTGTTTTCCCTGTAGGAACTTTACAGGTTCTTTTCAGAAATTTCAAATGTGATTGCAGGGTAGAATAATTTATGTTAATTCCTGTATTAAGCTGCTAAAATAGCAAATGTCAAAGCATTATCATTAAGTATTATCAGAATTAATATCAATAACTGAAATTTTAAATTAAAAGTAACCCAAAAAATAAAAATTAAAAATTAATTTATTAAAAGTAACCAATTTTTAAAATTCTGAAATATTTGACTCCTTAATGTTATTCTAAGCGGCAAAATTTAGAAGTATTTTCAAAGAATTCCCATATTTCAACTATGTACAGTCCAAAGCCTTTGATGATGTAAGTATTTTATTTACTTATCTGCCTCTTCTCACTAGAGTATATCCTCTCTAAGGGCAAGACTAGATCACATCTTTATGTCACCATTGCTATATTCAGTGTCTAGTACATTACAGGAAATCAGAGAATATTTGTTAATGAGTGCATGTGATTTTCATAAAGGGATTCATTTGTATTTATCTAGATTAGAATTTCTCTGGAAGCTAAAGGAATGATTTTCTTCCTGGTCTAGCACCTTACTTTGACAAATAAAATAGCATAATAAAATATTAATATTGTTATTTTTTGATGGTAGAGGGTCTAAGCAGTATAGTTTACAGTTTGAATGATTTTAGAGGTAAAAATGTTTGTGCTATTAATTCTTAGACTCGTCCTATGGTATTTTAAAAAATGCATTGAGAATGTATGTGGGCTCGGCGCCTGTGGCTCAAGTGGCTAAGGCGCCAGCCACATACACCTAAGGTGGCGGGTTCGAATCCAGCCCGGGCCCGCCAAACAACAATAATGGCTGCAACCAAAAAATAGCTGCGCATTGTGGCAGGCGCCTGTAGTCCCAGCTACTTGGGAGGCTGAGACAGGAGACTCGCTTGAGCCCAGGAGTTGGAGATTGCTGTGAGCAGTAAGGCCACGGCACTCTACCCAGGGGGACAGCTTGAGGCTCTGTCTCAAAAAAAAAAAAAAAAAAAGAGAATGTATGTGAAAATTCTGTATATTACATGATTGATTAAATTTTATTTTTTAGCTCCTTTATACAGACAGGAATTTTGTGATTTGTGCTCCAACTGGTTCTGGAAAGACTGTACTGTTTGAACTAGCTATAACAAGATTATTAGTGGAAGTACCATTGCCATGGCCAAATATTAAAATTGTTTACAGTAAGTATGTATTGTAAGAGTTTTCATTATTATAATAATGAAAAACCACTGAAGCAAAATGAAGAAGTAAATTCAGTTTCAGTGTACAGGAATTATTATTTGGTTTTCTATACAATTTTAATAAAGATAACACCACAATTGGTCTTGTATATTACATTAAATTTAAAACACGTTTTTTGGTTGTTTTTTTTTTTTTAAGAGACAGAGTTTTACTTTATCACCCTTGGCAGAGCGCTGTGGCATCAGGGCTCATAGCAACCTCTAACTCCTGGGCTTAGGCAATTCTCTTGCCTCAGCCTCCCAAGCAGATGGGACTACAGGCGCCTGCCACAACGCCCAGCTATTTTTTGTTTGCAGTTTGGCCAGGGCTGGGTTTGAACCTGCTACCCTCGGTATATGGGGCCAGAGCTCTACCCACTGAGCCACAGGTGCCACCCAATTTAAAACACATTTTCTTTTTTTTTTTTTGAGACAGAACCTCAAGCTCTCCCCCTGGGTAGAGTGCTGTGGCATCACAGCTCACATCAACCTCCAACTCTTGGGCTCAAGTGAGTCTCCTGCCTCTGCCTCCCAAGTATCTGGGACCACAGGTGCCGGCCACAACACCTGGCTATTTTTTGGTTGCAGCTGTCGTTGTTTGGCAGGCCCGGGCTGGATTCGAACCCACCACCTTAGGTGTATGTGGCTGATGCCTTAGCCACTTGAGCCACAGGTGCTGAGCCACACATTTTCTCAGAATTAGAAAAGAAAAGTAATATTTGAATTGAGAACTTGACTTTTACATACTTATTCTAAAAATTTGTGTGGGAACTTCTGCTCTCTTAGGTGTATATATTTTTAAATTTTTTCATCAAAAGTTATGTATGTATATGGTTTAAAAAATAAAATACCACAAAAAAGCTTGTAAGGAAAAGCACTAGTCTTCTACCCTACTTTTCTCCACTCCAGTTACACTTGCTTGAGCAATCACTTCCATTTCTATTTGTTTTTTGGTTTTGAGACAGAGTCTCATTCTGTGCCCCAGGCTAGAGTACCATGGCCTCAGCCTAGCTCACAGCAACCTCAAACTCTGGGTTAAAGTGTCCTCTTGCCTCAAGCTCTAGAGTATCTGGGACTACAGGTGCCCACCACAACACCCAGTTAATTTTTCTATTTTTAGTAAAGAGGGGAGTCTTGCTCTTGCTCAGGCTGTTCTCAAATTTCTGAGCTAAGGTGATCCTCCAGCCTTGCCTTGCCAGAGTACTGGGATTGCAGATATGAACTATCCTTCCCAGCCTTCTATTTCTTTTTTTTTCTTTTTTTTTTTTTTTCGAGACAGAGTCTCGCTTTGTCGCCCTCAATAGAGTGCAGTGGCATCACAGCTCATAGCAATTCATAGCAATCTCCAGCTTTTGGGCTTAGGCAGTTCTCTTGCCTCAGCCTCCCAAGTAGCTGGGACTACAGGTGCCCACCACAATGCCTGGCTATTTTTTTGTTACAGTTTGGCTAGGGCTGGGTTTGAACCCTCCACCCTCCGTATATGGGGGTGGTGCCCTACTCACTGAGCCACAGGAGCCACCCCTGCCTTCTATTTCTATTTTTAGTTTTTTCAGGTTATTACTTTTCTATTTTTAAATAATATGCCCATATTGTTAATTTTTAACTTACTAATATTAGGCAGTACCTAGGTATGTATTTTCTACCCTAACTTTATTAACCAAAATTTGTGAAAATAACTTTAAAATTTCACTAATGTTCAAAATAAATGTCTTACATTGTAACAGTGGCACCAATAAAAGTCCTGTGTAGTCAGCGTTTTGATGACTGGAAGGAAAAATTTGGAGCAATAGGACTGACTTGTAAAGAACTCACCGGAGATACAGTAATGGATGACCTGTTTGAGATTCAGCATGCTCATATTATTATGACAACTCCAGTAGGTGTTCTTTATACTTTGTTATTTCCTTGATTTGTTAGAAAACATCTGTTTCTTCACCAGGAAGAAATGTTTGAAAAAAATACAAAGTAGAAGCATATATTTGCAATGTAAAAAAAAAAAAAAAACATATATATATATATAAAATGTAGCTAGTATTCAGCGAACAAATTAATGTGCATAAATTTATAAGTAAAAAAGAATTGACCAAATAGGAAAAATGCATAAAGAATAGTTAACTTGTTATTATAGATGATTTGTAATTTGTATTCTTTTTTACCCAAGTATTATGTATTGTAAAGGGATGGCCTTGGTAGCACTGAAAAATAGGTAATACTATTACCTATTAAACTTTGACTTGAACATTTTTTGAGGTTTAACATACAAACAGCTGATGGCCCATTAGGACTGTCAAAGTTTCTTAAATCTTTTTTGATCCTTAAATTTTTTTTTGAGACAGAGCCTCAAGCTGTCACCCTGGGTAGAGTGCTGTGACATCACAGCTCACAGCAACCTCCAACTCCTGGGCTTAAGTGATTCTCTTGCCTCAGCCTCCCAAGTAGCTGGGACTACAGATGCCTGCCACAACACCCGGCTATTTTTTGGTTGCAGCCGTCATTGTTGTTTGGCGGGCCAGGCCTAGATTCAAACTCGCCAGCTCAGGTGTATATGGCTGGCGCCTTAGCCACTTGAGCCACAGGCGCAGAGTGAGATCCTTAAATTTTTTTTAGGATACTTTTAAGGCATCAACCAAAACATTGCCCATTATTTATGATATGTCATAATAAAATTTTTATTTGTATCTTAAATAATATTTATCAGAATTTCTTATTACATTAAACTACTTAATTTTTTTCTTTAGGAAAAATGGGATAGCATGACTAGGAAATGGAGAGATAATTCTTTGGTCCAGCTGGTTCGACTGTTTCTCATTGACGAGGTAATGAACACATGACTCACCTTCATAGATAAACCTAAAAAGAGGATATAATGGATAGAAAGAAAGAAAACATTTTCATTTTCAACAAAACTACATGTTTGTTTTATCTCTTTAAATGGAAGATACTCATTTTCTAAAGGAAGGATGTTAATATTATTGCATATTTTAATTAAGTTTTTAGTTTAATAACTAATGTTTTTTCTTGATTTCCTACTTAGGTTCACGTTGTAAAAGATGAAAATCGTGGTCCAATTCTTGAAGTTGTAGTCAGCAGAATGAAAACTGTACAATCTGTATCTCAGACTTTAAAAAATATTAGCACTGTCATTCCAGTGAGATTTGTAGCAGTATCTGCAACAATTCCAAATGCTGAGGATGTAAGTTAGAATATTAGTCTCAGGTTTTTTATGACTTGTGAAATTTTTAATCATTTTGATCTTAGAGAAAAGTGAGTTTTGCTTTTTCTTCTTTTAGTTGCCTAACAAATTTAATTGGAAAGTATGTTGTAGAATGTTGTGGCTAAGTCACATAAGTATGAAAGTTGTGGCTAACTCACATAGGTATTGAGGCTGGTTGATCAGGTTTAATAAAACATTTGTTGGAAGTCTTTTGTTTGCTAGTATCTAACATCTAGTTTCATGAGTTTCAGACACCTCATAATAACTTGACCAACATGTTATGGTCATTGTAACCAGCTGACACAAATTGTATAGCAAAGTATAGTAGAAAATAAAAATAATTGCTTAGATGATTACAACTTACTCTATTCTATATGCTTGGCATTGTGAAGCACTAATAATAGTTGCAAGAGTAAAAACACATGGGGACACCATCCTTGAGGAGGATCTCATGGTTAATGGGCCACATGGACATGTAAAGAAATAATTTTATGTGGTATTATACTTTTCATAATGAATATATGACTTAATTTTTTCTTCAATTTTTAAGTAAACATTTTGAAGAAAATAGTGTCACTCTTTCTTACTCCCACTTACTTTTCAACTTTCTGTAATATTGCTTTTTCCCCTGTTACTGTATTTCTCAGAAACTCTTTTCACAAATAGCTACTATCATATATTCCAGAGGAAATTTTTGTCTTTAATTTGGCACAATCATTTTCTTGTTCTTAATATGATAATTTTTTCATATTCAAGAGTAATATGAAAAAAATTAAAGTTTATTAAAACGAGACTAAATCCTAATGTTTGTCATATTGTGTCATAATGTGCTCATTCTTTTTTGGCTTGCATTTCACCTATAAACATTTCCATGTCATTAAATATTCTTCAATACTATATTTGTGGCATGCAGAGGTAAGGACTGCTCTAGAAACCAGTCTGAAACTATCACTAAGTCTGAAATGTGCTTTTGGCACTACCATCTCTCCAATGTTTATTTATTGTTTGCTTAAAAATTGTTAACTCTCCAGGCATGGGTCCTGAAGCCTGTAATCCCAGCACTCTGAGAGCCCAAGGCAGGTAGATTGTTTGAGCTCAGGAGTTCGAGACCAGCTTGAGCAAGAGTGAGACCCCCATCTCTAAAAAATACCTAAGCATTGTGATAGGTGCCTATAATCCCAGCTACTCGGGAGACTGAGGCAAGAGGATCACTTGATCCAAGAGTTTGAGGTTGCCATGAGCTGTGAAGGCACCGCACTCTACTGAGGGCAATAAAGTGAGACTCTGTCTTAAAAAGAAAATAATTGCCAACCCTTGTCAACCTAAGTGAATATTACTTTGCTACTATTCACCTAATGTTTAAGTCACAGGGGTATCCAAACCTTTTTTCCTCTATCACATATTGGAAAAATAAAAGTTATCTTGAGCCACACTTTATTTTTTTTATTTTTTGAGACAGAGTCCCACTTTGTTGCTCTTGGGAGAGTGCTGTGGCGTCATAGCTCACAGCAACCTCAAACTCTTGGGCTTGAGCGATTCTCTTGCCTCAGCCTCCCAAGTAGCTGGGACTACAGATGCCCACCACAACACCTGGCTATTTTTCATAGAGATGGGGGTTTCACTCTGGCTCATGCTGGTCTCAAACCCATAAGCTAAGGCATTCTACCCGCCTCAGCCTCCCAGAGTGCTAGGATTACAGGTGTGAGCTCCACACTTTAAATATACAAATACTAATCAAAGCTGATTAACAAAAAAACAGTTCTGTGCATTCTTCTCATATTCGAGGCCACAAATAAAAAAAGTCAGCATGAGGCCTGTGGGTACGGGTTGGACATCTCTGGTTTAAGGCAACACAAAAACACAAAAGAATTTTTGGTAGTTTCAAGGCATAATTTGGAAAAATAATGAAGTTATAATAATTGTGAGAAATTTGATTTCTATGACAAAATCAATTTTTAATTTTACTGTGGAATCTTATGAAGGAAAATAAAGCAATAATAATCAGTTAGAAGTGAAAGTGGGTATAATCTTGAAATACTGCTATCGGTAGTTTTTATAATATATCAACAAAATAGTATTAATGGAATGATGTATAATATTGAAAAAGACTAGTTGATTAAATGCTTTTTGTACCTTGACTTTAAAGTGCTCTATAATTGGGTTATTTTTATCCATTGAACTTTCTTGGAAAAAAATTTAAATATACATATTTCTGTTTTTACAGATAGCAGAATGGCTTTCAGATGGTGAAAGACCCGCCTTATGTCTGACAATGGATGAAAGCCATAGACCGGTGAAACTTCGGAAAGTTGTCCTTGGATTTCCCTACACTAGTAATCAAACTGAATTTAAGTTTGATCTAACCCTCAACTACAAAATTGCCAGTGTTATACAGACGTACTCTGATCAAAAACCCACACTTGTGGTATGGATGGTTGGTTGCTTATTTTTTAGTGTAATGTTCAGTTTTTAACTTGATAATAAAAAATTATTAATTTATTTTCAGTTTTGTGCAACAAGGAAAGGTGTACAACAGGCTGCTTCTGTTCTTCTGAAAGATGCTAAATTTATTATGACTGTGGAACAGAAACAGAGGTATAGTTTTTCTTTTTTTCATGGAAATGAAAGGACTCTTGGGGATCATCAAGATAAGAGAAAACTAGGTTTGTCCCTTAACCTTGGGCAAGTTACTTGACATATCCAAGCCTCAGTCTCCTCATTTGCAAAAATAATAGTAATTTTGAGGAGTGTGATAATGAATCCTAATGCAGCTGTGATTGATCTTTATTTCATAGCCAGGTGTTGTGAAAGATGAAGACATACTGCTATCGTCGTCTTCTTTTTCTTTTTTTTTTTTTTAACCTACTTTCAATCCAGTATCACAATCTTTCACTAAAGCTGATGCATGTATTGCTAATTAATCTGTCAGGAATCTCTAATGCATTTGACTACTTCCACCTTACTTAAACACTCTGGACTCTTCTTCCATAATCATCTTCTACCAGTATCATCCTTCTTTGCAGGCTGCTCATTCTTAGTCCCCTTTTCACTTCTTTTACCCAAATCTTAAATGTGGCATTCTCGGAGGTTTATTTTTTCTAATTCCCCACTCCCAGGTCCTTGTGTATACTCATGTGAGTTTCATGTACATTTATGTCTGTCTATGAATCCCTAAATTTTACCTTCAGTTCAGACCTCCCTACTGAACTCCAGGGCCATAGTCCATCTGTTTCACTGATATCCAATTGTATAGTTTATGGACTTCTCAAACTCATTATATCCTAAGTAGAACCTCAAGTTTTCTCTCAAACCACCTCCTTCTTCAGTGTTCCCTATCTTAATTATATGTTATACCTAGTTGCTCATGGGAGAAACCTATCATTGATAATCTTCATCTTCCAAGCTGTAGACAATCACCACGTACAGTTTATTATTCTAAATGTATCTCAAATACGTCATTTTGTCTCCATCAGCACTGCCACCTTCCTAATTCACATCACTTAATCTTTTGCTTGGGTTTTATTCTTTTCTCTGTTGACTACACATACTTCTGTACTCTTCAATCTATTCTCTACATAGCAGAGTGATTGTTTAAAATGTCACATCTGAATACATCAGTTTCCTGCCTAAAACTCTTTAATAGCTTCTTATTGTCCTTAGGATAAAATCCATAATTCTTAGTGGCCTGCAGTACCCCAATTTTATGCCTAACTAATTCTCCAGACTCATCCCGAGAAAGTGAAATTAATGCTAATGAGAAAAACATTGGCAGCCAATAATGATTAAGACTTTGCATACTGGCTGTACATGGTTTTATAACATTGTTGACTATTATTTTTCTAAATTTTTTCAACAAAGATGGGGTTTTAAAAACATATCGACCAGTTGATTATAAAACTAGTTAATACAATAAATGTAAAAGTAAAACTTTTTTATAAAGCGTAGGTATAAGGTAGAGTTTAGAGCATTTTACTTGTTGGGTGAATAAACTAGGCGATCAAGTTGGTCCATGTCACTTTAGTCAGAAGCAAGATGTGGTGTGAGTGTCAAGTAACAAGGCTTATTTTCTTGCTCCTAAACTAACTGAAGGCACTTTTGAAAGACTTAAGATACTATTTGTGCAGTAGTGGCATCATTCACATAGAACAGCTATGTGGTCCCCTAACATGAATACTCAATAATTAATATTTTCAGCTGAAGTTACCTATATGAGTAAGGAACTGAAATAGATAGGTTATAACATCCCTTTAAACTAATTTACATTATATCCTCTCCCTTTTTCCTATTCCCTACTGCACACAAATTAACTAATTTTGTTGCAGATAATCATTTTCTTCCAGAAAGCATTTACCTTAATTCCTTTTCTCATTTTGCACTCTTACCTAGTTACTCAAGGAAATTTTCTGTCTCCTCTAATTCTTATTTTTTCTCTCTTTGTGCCTTATTTTTTCTTTCTTCATCCTCTTTTTTATCCATGCTTTTTCCAGAAAGAAAATGTTGGTATTAGAAACATACTGAAGCCAGAGACCCAGATTTGAATTATAGTGCCATCATTGGTCATATTACTTGACTTCTCTCAGCTGTAGTTTCTTTTCTTTTTTCTTTCACCTTCTGTAGAGTGCTCACAGCATCATAGCATCATAGCTCACAGCAACCTCAAACTCTGGGGCTCAAGAGATCCTCTTGCTTCAGCCTCCCAAGTAGCTGGGACTGTAGGCACTCTGCCACAACACTTGGCTAGGTTTTCTATTTTTTTTCAGTAGAGACATAGGTCTTGCTCTTGCTCAGGCTGGTCTGGAACTCCTGAGTTCAAGCACTCAACCTACCTTAGCCTCCCAGACTAGGGATTAAAGGCCTAAGCCACTGCGCCCAGCCTTAGCTGCAGTTTCTTAATCAAGATTAGGTATCTAGACATGGTTATAAGTGTAACCTTACTATGTTATTGTGATAATTAAATAAGGCAACATGTCTAAGATACCAAACAGTGCATAGCACAGAGTTTGTGCTTAATAAAATGCCCTTTCCTCTTGCCTTTTCTTCATTCCATTATGAGTCCTTAAAAAAAAAAAAAAAGAGTATTATAAAAATAATGCCTCCTAATGTCAGATATGCAAGGGAATGGAAAAACACAAATTTGGAGGTTCCTAGACATATTTAAGAACCAAGCTTAGCAACTTCCAATATTTTTGTTTTGTAGTGCATGTTGAACATTTACAACATGATGTTATAGGATACATACAGATAGTAAAATAGTAGTGTAGTGAAGAGGGAAGCAAATGAATGTATCTTTCATCTCAGATAGTTACTTTTTCAAATAAGAGCTAAAATCTACTTATTTGACATGAATCCTTAATTTAATATGATCTCATTAACTATAGTTTTCATGATGTACCTTAGATCTCTAGACTGACTTATCCAATGTAGCTACTACTTTGTATCCTTTGACCTACATCTCTCTATTTTATATACTGGACCTGCCCTACTTCTGGTAATCATTGTTTTATTTTCTATCTCTATATTTGACTTCTTGTTTTTCTTTTAAGAGTTCATATATTAGTGAAATCGTGTAATTTTCTTTCTGGTTTATTTCATTAGTATTGCAGCATAATATCTTTGAGGTTCATCCATGTTGTGGGAAATGGCCGAGTATCTTTTTTAAAGTCTGAATAATACTCCATTGTGTGTATAAATGTGTGTGTGTATGTATATACACACCATGTTTGTTTTCCTTATTTGTCTATCAATGACACTTAGGTTTTTTCCATATCTTGGCTACTATAAATAGTACTGCAGTGAACATGGGAGTACAGATATCTTCATGAGGTAATGATTTCATCTCCTTTGGGAAATACCCAAAGAAAGAATTGCTGAGCTGACTTGGTGCCCATTGCTCAGTGGTTAGGACGTCAGCCATATACACTGGGCCTGGCGAGTTCGAACCTGGCCTGGGCCTCCTAAACAACAATAACAACTACAACAAAAAAATAGCCAGGTCCCAGCTACTTGGGAGGATGAGGCAAGAGAATCACTTGAACCCAAGAATTTGAGGTTGCTATGAGCTGTAACACTATGGCACTCTACCAAGGGTGACATAGTGAGACTCCGTCTCAAAAAAAAACAAAAGAATTGCTGAGTTGGTCATATGGTAATTATATTTTTAATATCTTTAGGAACTTCCAACCTGCTTTCCATAATGGCTACACCAATCTACATTCCCACCAACAGTGTGCTAGTGTTCCTTTTTCTCTACACCCATGTAAACTTGTTTTATCTTTTTGATAATAACTACATTAACAGGTGTGAGGTGATAGATCCTAATGACTTTCTTTAATTTTCATTTTTTAATGAAAAGTAATGTTGATTAGTTAGTGATTAGTAACGTTGAGCACCTTTGACCATGCAGGTCATTTTTATGTCTTCTTTGGAGAAATGTCTATTAAGCTCCTTAGCTCATTTTTTAATTGGGTTAGTTGTTTTTCTGCTATTGAGTTGTAATAGTTCTTTATAATTTTTGGATGTTAACCCCTTATCAGATATGTGGTTGGCAAATATTTTTTCCCACTTTATAGATTGCCTTTTCATTTTGTTGATTGTTTTATTTGCTGTGCTAAAGCTTTTTAGTTTGATGTAGTCCCATTTATTTTGCTTTTGGAACCTGAGCTATTGGCATCCAAAAAATCATTGCCAGGGCCAACAACCAGAATCTTTTTCCCTGTGTTCTCTTCTAGGAATTTTACGGCTTTGGGTCTTACATTTGAGTATTTTATTTATTTTTGAATTGATTTTTGTATATAGTATAAGAATCCAATTTCATTATTTTTCATGTGGCAATCCAGTTTCCCCAGCACCATTTATCAAAGAAATTATCTTTCCCTCTTCTGTCCTCTTTGTGCCCTTGTCAAAAATTAATTGACTGTATATGTTTAGACTTATTTCTGGTCTTTCTATTCTGTTCTATTGGTATATATTTCTGTTTTTATGTCCGTATATACTGTTGGTTACTGTAGCTTTATGGTATGATTTTAAATTGGGAAGTTGGTGCCTCTAACTTTCTTTTTCTTTCTCAGTATTGTTGTGGCTAATTGGGATTTATTGTGATTGCACATGGATTTTAGGATTGTTTATTCTATTTCTGTGAACAATGCCATTGGAATTTGTGCTTTGGGTAGTAGGGACATTTCAACCATATTAATTCTTCTAGTTCATGGACTTAGAATATCTTTCCTTTTATTTTACCTTCTTCACTTCCACCATTATGTTATAGATGTCAGTATACAAATCTTTTACCTCCTTGGTTAAATTTATTCTAAGTATTTTTTCAATGTTGCAAATAGGATTTTTAAGGATTTCTTTTTTTGATGCGTCAGTATTTATGGATAGAAATGCTACGGATTTTGTAGCCCTTGTTGATTTTTTATCCTGCAACTTTCACTGAACTTTTTTATGAGTTCTGAAAGGTTTTTTTTTTTTGTGGCATCTTTGGGTTTAGATCACGATATATCCTAACGGTGGCTCTGGTTTCAAGATGGTGTTGTGCAGTATCAGCTTGGACCATGGGGAGTAGGACAGTAGGCTCCTTCTCTGGAGTAGTGCAGCAGTGTGAACTACAGGCAGCTCCCTACCCTGAGCACAGGGTCTGTGAAGACTGCAGTAGTGACGACTGCAAATGTCCACGGAGGTGATAGAGGTTCCTAGGGGAATCTGCTTACCATTTTCTCCTGGTTTCAAGCTGATCCTGACTAGGGGATGAGATGATAGAAGAAATGTGTTTCCTTCCCTCCCCTATGTGGCCATCCTGAGTTTCTGTACTTCCAGGATTTTCACTTTTCCCTTGCTGAACTCTGATACTTTCCTTTACTCACTCTGGTCAGAACGTATTTATTCATTGTTTTGGTCTTTTGGGGGGGAGGGGTGGGATGAATGTTAGGCATCTCTTCTTGGCCATCTTGCTTCCTCCTAACCTAGTTTTCTTTATGTACCGTATAAAGATATGTTCCATATCTTAAAGGAAAATAAGCAACTTTTTATTTCTATCTTTTTTGGCTTTCTAGTGAGATTATAGAGTTTTAAAAATTGTTATTCCTTACAAATATTTTTTAGGTAAATTATGGGAATAGACCTTTATATTCTGATTCATGAGCATAATCACCATTTATAATTTTTTCTTCCCTGTGGAAAATGAGTTTTCTATTCTTAATTTAAAAAGTGAGCTTTAATGTTACAGCTGATAAGTTTGGGACTTATGAATATGAAAGTTAGATATTCTCTACTTAAAGATAGTTTTCAACGTATTTTGAATATGTTTTGATATCCCTAATTTAAAATAATTAATAAACCATTTCAGAGTTTTCTGATGCTACTGGGAGCAACTCAATAATATTATGGTATTTTTACATAGGTTACAGAAGTGTGCATACTCCATAAGAGATTCAAAACTGAGAGGTAGGTTTAGAAATAATTTTTGAATAGCATTTTCAGATACAGATAAAAAGAGTCAATTACTGATGAAATATTAGCAGTAACTAACAAGTGGTAAATTCTATTACAGATTTCTTAATACATGGTGTTGGTTATCATCATGCTGGCATGGAGCTGTCAGATAGAAAAGTAGTTGAAGGAGCTTTTACTGTTGGAGATCTACCAGTTCTTTGTAAGTAAAGCATTCTTGTGGATATTATAAAATAATTTGGAAAATTATTTTTAAGAGAAAATTTAAAAAGTGTTTAGTATCTTACTTGTTCCTGAGACTCTAAAATTACGTAATTATCCATGCAGGTATATGCTGCAGTCAATTCTTTGGCAGGTTTGTGGGGTTTTTTCATGTTATTAAGCATAGTGAAATTTGAAAATAATAATTTAATAGTTTTTCGTTGTATTATTTTAAATTGTAATGTTCTTTTTTCTTCCTTTTCTAAATTTCTTATACATGAATTTCAATTGCTTTTATAAGAATGTGTCCTTTATAAGAAAAAATCTTCCTGAAGCAATAGAGTTATATAGCTTGAAATTACTGTGTCTTGTTCTGATACAGTTACTACCAGTACTTTAGCAATGGGAGTAAATTTGCCTGCTCACCTGGTAGTTATAAAATCTACAATGCATTATGCTGGAGGAATGTTTGAAGAGTACAGTGAAACAGATATTCTACAGATGATTGGTAGAGCTGGACGACCTCAAGTAAGTCTCAGTAACTTTGTTTTTTTGTAACTTATTTAAAGACATGGTAAAACTAAAACATTTTTGTGTATTTTTTTGATTAGAATGTCTTAATTAGATTAGGTTTAAAAATAATATTAACAGAGAAAATGTACCTTGGGGAGGAATAAAATTAAAATAGGACTCACCAAGTGAGGCATACTTCCTTCACTCCCTCTGGATACTGGCATTGGCTGATGAAGGGATGGCCCATCATGAATGAGTATGCTGTTAAAGGTCTTTTTGGTTTTGAGGTTTTTTTGTTTTGTTTTGTTGGCATCATGCATGGGGCAGTTTTTCATTGTATATGACTGTCATGTACGTTACAGAACGTGAAGCATCCCTAGGTATTGTGACAGTTAAAACAGCCCACATACATTTCAAAACATATTCCTCTGACGAACGCTTGAATGAAGAAGTCATTCAGGTAAATACTAAGGCACATTCAAGAAGAATATATTTACAAAGAGTGTCAAAATATGATGTTGTACAAATTTATACTTTTGTAGAATAAATCAGATATGTAAACTACATAAATTGTATAACTCTTATTCTGTTTTTGTCGAATAAGTCAGATATGTAAACTACACAAATCGTATAACTCTTATCCAGAGTTTGTTTCTATTTTGACATTTGCCAAAATTATGTTAAATTGAAACTGAAGTAGTATTTACAGCTATATTCTTGGAAGGTTTTTTTTAAATTAAACTTTTGGTTAAAATTCAAATACAGTTTATTTTAGGATTTTTGCACTGTTGTTTAAGCCAAGGGGAATGTTTACTGTAAAATTAAAGTCTTAAGTTATTGAAGAGAGCTGGTACCAAGCAAGATGTGCTCTTTACTACTTTCTCTATGTGTTTTTTTTCCAGTTTGACACTACAGCTACTGCAGTTATTATGACTCGATTAAATACAAAAGAAAAATACATTCAGATATTAGCTTGTAGTGACACTGTAGAAAGCAGGTAATATAGAAAATATTTCAAGAAGATAATCATGCTAATATAGACTGTTTTTTTTTTT